ATTTACATGATGGGCAGGGCAAAAAAAAGGTAACAATTTCTGTTTGCGCAGTGATTCTTGACCTGAGAGCAAAGGCACATGGCACGTTTGAGGGCTAGGTCTTCATTTACTTTAGCATCTCTATGCTGAAGAGCAAGTTTCAGAGTCTCTTCTGACATCCATTGTGGTCTTTTCCTTCCTTGTTTTCTTAATGCCATTTTGCTTTCTTCCTGTATCACCCCACAACTCTTCTGGTCTTCAATCATTAGTGTCTAATGTCTCATACCTGTTCTTCAGATGATCTCTAAATTCAGATGGGATGCATTTAAGGTCATATTTTTGCTCTTGTGGATTTGTTTTAATTTTCTTCACTTTCAATCTGTACTTGCATATGAACAGTTGATGGTCTGTTTCACAATCTGCCCTGGCCTTATTTTGGCTGATGATATGGAACTTTTCCACTGTCTCTTTCCACAGATGTAGTCAGTTTGATTTCTGTGTGTTCCATCTGGTGAGGTCCATGTGTCTAATCGCCTTTTTTATTTGTTTGTTTGTTTTAGCTTTTTATTGTGAATTGAGTGAAGGTTTACAGAGCAGATAATCAGTTTTACATTCAACACATCATATACTTTACTTCATTACATGTTTGCAGCCCCCTCCGTGTACCACAGTTAACAATTACATTCCTCTGTGTCTCTTGCTACCTTCATCTTGCCCCTGCTAACCTCCCTCTTATATTGTCTGCCATCACCTATATCAACGTGTCTGCCCTTTAGCCCATGAATAACTTTCCCTCCCTCCCACTTTCCTGTAACCATCAGAGATTCTTCTTTTTTTTTTTTTTAATAACAAATATATAACTCAGTTTCAAAGTAACAGTGGTATACACTCTTTCTACCTCCCATCCTCAACCTTTCACTGGGATCAAGTCTCTGTCTTGAGGCGTGAAGTTTTTAATGTGTTTCCATAATACTCTTTTTTATAAATGTTTTATTGTGAATTATGTTATAGCTTACATGGGAGAACATCAGCTTTACATTCACCATATCGTATATTGTTTCATTGCCATAGTTAAAATCCCCTCCATGCATCATCAACCAACCAAAGCCTGCCCCCTGGTCATCAGCACACAGCCCCTCTCCCTCTCTGGGTCTAAAGTCCCCAGCTGCTCCATCTCTCCACATCATCGTTTTTGCCTCCATCTCTGGCATCACTGTGTCTCTGGGTAGGGTCCCGCACTCTGCCCCTCTCCCTTGATAGTCCCAGGGACCTCCGCTCCTGGACTGCAAAGTCAATCACTCCCCTCCTTTTGCTACAAAACATCTACCTTTACATTTCCAACCCTCACAGTTAGTCCTGATAACAATTATTCACTATTGTACCTCAAGAGACCTATCCCTATCTCCTTTCATCAGCCTCGCCCAGACAGATTAGATACCACTCAGTGGAGATTCTACCTTCCTCCAAGCCCTCTGGATCTAGGCTCCCTCTTGAAAGCTTGTAAACCAGTCATTTCTTGCCTTTGTAGCTCCCCCATTTTCGGTAGCCAATGTCCAAGTTGCCAATCCCTGTCTACTCTGTGTATGGAAGGGGTGGGAATGATCCTCGCTGTAAAGATTTGTTCCCTCTTTTGAGCTACTACATCCATAGGTGTAGGTCTAGTTCATCAAATTGTATCAGATTATTCTTTTTTTTCCTCTTCTTTCTTCTTCTAGTTGAGCTCTGATCATCCAGTCATTGAAGTCGGGTCAAGTGGGTATTACCTGCAAGTGTGAGTGTTCTGCAAGTGTGGGTGTTCTTATGCTTATGCCCTTTCTTCTTATCAGCTGGACACTTCACTCTCTACTCTAGTCCTCTGTGGCTATGTCACTGACTCTGGGCCCAAGAATCCCCAGGTCTTGCCACACTGCTGACACCTGGGTTCACAGGTATCTATTGCACATTGTAGGGGTTAGCTCGCAGCTTCATTGCTGTTTTTCCCTCACTTCCCCTAATGGGTGACAAACGTGGTCACCAATCAGAGTGCATGTCTGCTTGTGTATTCCCACTGAGTTTTAATTTTGGGAGGGGGTTTGCCTTGAGGGGACTTGACCACTTGCCTTAATGTCTCCTGCTTGAGCAACTTACTTGATTTTGTAGTAATCAGTCAGACTGCCATCATTGTTTTGTATTTTTCCTGTCGGTCTTTCTTTCAAGAGGTATCTTCTGTTCTTCTAGCCACTCCAGGCTGGTTTGCTTGTGCTTTCAAGTGGAAATTACCCACCTCAGAAGATTCTGGATGTGGTTCAGGATTCCACTCTAATCGCCTTTTATATTGTTTAAAAAGATATTTGCAATGAAGAAGTCATTCGTTGAGCTTGCAAAAGTCTGTCATATGAGCTTCATCATTTCTCTTACCAAGGCCATATTTTCCAGTGATTGATCCTTCCTCTTTGTTTCCAACCTTTGCATTTTAATTGCCAGTAATTATCAACACATCTTGATTGCTGACCCTTAGAGATTATTTATTCAGTCTTGGGAGAGGAAACTGAGACCTAGACCAAGTCCCAGGCTTGCCTGGGAACATGGGGCTGATTGATTAGTGGCAACGTCAGGACCTGTGCCCATGCTCTTCCATATCTGAGCCTGGTGCTTTGTTGCCACCTCACATGTTGGACTGGTAAACCAGTGCCTCATACCATATTTGTGCACTTTACTGACAGAAGTCATGTAATTTCCTCTCTTACAGTGCTGAAGGTGAACAAGAAGAGACTTTAAAGGAGCCACCAACGGAACAGAAAGAAAAAGACATGTATGGATACAAAAGAATTGTCTAAGGATGCTGTGTGAAGTGTTGGTTTTACTGGAATGTGATTTCCTTGTTTGTAAAAGTCCACATTCTTCCTATATTTTATGTGCACAAAAAATGCGTTTCTTCTTTCAACAAAAAGCTGTTATTAAAATTGATGATGTAATTTACAATTAACTGCTTCTTACAATCAAGGAAATATAGATTATATTAATAATATACTCATACCTTCTCGGGAACCCTATACAGGGTCTCTATGAGTTGACGGCACTTAATAACAAGAACCTGCAGAAGGTGAAATCTGTTTTCTACATAATTAGCCCTTCATTCATGGAAATCGTTTCTTTTTACCTGCTGAGGTGTGTTTTAAAGTTAATATCTCTTTAAGTTTTTCTCTGATTCTGTCTTATTGCCAAATACTTAGTCAAGAGCACACTTCAAAGGTACCTCAGGAATATAGTGTTTGGTTTTTAAAAACCATTTCTCTCATTTACTTTGCACTCTCATCTTCATTCTTTAGATCACTGGTGGATATTCAAGACCTGTCTAGTATCTCCTATGAACGAGATGACTCTTTTAAGGGAACTTCATGTAAAACACCCAAAATAAGTCATGCACCTACTAGCGTCAGCACTCCTCTCAGCCCAGGTAAAGACCCACAGAAGGAGAAATATTTTGGGAGAACAAACAGTCCTTGCCCATTGGCTGCCTAGGGCAAGTTAGACACAGTAACTTTTCTCACTAACTGAAGGGGCTATGGAAGGCCAGGTAGGGGTGGTAGTGTTGGTGATTAAGCATCTGTTAGAAAGCTTTAAGGACTCCTGGTGTGGCTCTGTAGGCTAATGTGCTGGACTGCAAAGTCGGTTTGAACTGTAATGTTGGCGGTTCAAACTCACCCAATGCTCTTTGGAAACTTTACACAGGGTTGCTATGGATTGAAACTGACTCAATGGCACTTAACAACAGAAAGCTTTAAAGGAGCCCGGGTGGCGCTGTGGGTTACATGTTGGGCTGGTAACTGCAAGGTTGGTGGTTCAAACCCACCAACCATTCACCCAGAGAAAGATGAGACTGTCTGCTCCTATAAAGATTTGCAGTCTCAGAAACCCCAATAGGGCCTCTGTGAGTCGTAAATGACTATGACTGTGGATTTAGGAAGTTTTAACTACAATGGTTGTTGCTGTTGTTAAGTGCCCTCTAATTGGTTCCAACTCATAGCAGCCCTCTGTAGGGTTTCCAAGGAGCAGCTTGTGGGTTTGAATTGCCGATGTTAGCAGTCCAGTGCTGATTCTGTAGCACCAAACCAGGACTCCACTGTAGTTGTTGTTGTTGTCAAGTGCCATCAAGTCAGTTCCGACCCACAGTGACCCTGTATGGGGCTTCCCAGGAGCAGCATGGGAGCTTGAACCGCTGACCTTGTGGTTCAAAGCGACATTGCAGTCCAGTACATTAACCCACAACGCCACACCAGGCTGAGACCTGTAAATGCAGTCTGCTCTGTACTTAAGTCTTACTGAATTTAGTCACAAACACTGGCTTCTGTGGAGTTTGCACATGAAAACAGTACCTTGCACTTCCACTTATAGAATTCTAAGTCCTGCATCAGTACACAGCCAACATCAAACATCCTCGTCAGTGTCCTTATTTCTAATATACTTGAAATAATCTTATTTTATTTTGATGGTCAAGTTTGTTGTTGTTGTTAAGTGCCATCGAGTCAGGTCCGACTCATAGCGACCCTGTACAGGGTTTCCGAGGGTGTAAATCTTTACGGGAGTAGAAAGCCTCATCTTTCTCCCACGGAGCGGCTGGTAGTTTCGAACCGCTGACCTTAAGGTTCGCAGCCCGATTCGTAACCACTACGCTACCAGAGAGAAACATTTTTAATACCTTGTGAGCTCGGCCTCAGATTAGTGGTTATTTCAGTTGTTAACAATTTGGGAAGTCCCTGGTATTGATGTTTTGGATTTTTTTTTTTTTTTTATTAATAAATGTTTCAGGCATGAACTGCCCTCTTTTCTACAACAGGGTCAATTTCTTCATCTGCCAGTCTGTATAAAGACTGTCTTGGAAGTATCACATTTCAGACTGAAACAGGGTCTTCCTCATGCTGGAACAACCAAGAGTCTATGCACACCTTATCTGATAAATTTACCACTGTCCGGGAGAAGGCGAGGAGCCTGGATTCTCTCATAGCTTCCTCAGAAATGCCCCCTTCAAGATCGACTGGCCACCTCGTAAGTACTTGAATTCTGCATTGCACGCTTATGGGGTCAACCCAGAATGTCCCCACTGTCTAAAGACCACAAAGAAAAAATGCGTCCACTCTAGGCTTCCCTAGGGCTTTGCTCCTGAGTCTATATAATGGGTGGATCCTGGTTTTTCATGTGTTTTCACTTATTTTTTACTTTTTATTGTGATTTGTGCAAAGGTTTACAGAGCAAATTGGTTTTCCATTATACAGTTCTTATACATTGTAATTCATGACCTTGCTTGTCATCCCATAGTATAACAGCACTCTTCCACTTCCTCCCTGTGATCCCCGTTACCCTGCCCTCCCTTCCTGCCTTCTAAGTTGTCTCTTCACACCAATGGTGGGTCCATGATTGATTGCTTCCCATAGGCCTGTGTATGTGTGAGTTCACTTACAGGTCTGAAGCGTGTCTAAGGGCCATAGTCTCAGGGATTCTACCAGTGTCTGCCATACCCAGTAAGCCTGCTCTTTTTTATTATCTTGAGTTTTGTTCCATATTTTTCTCAGACTCTATCCAAGATGTGCTAATTTGTTTTTTCCCCCAGAGGTAATTTTTGGCAATTTTTCTAAAGACCTAACCTGGTGCCTTAATTTATGATGCTACTTTCTTCTGTATTGTTCTCACCCTTTAACTAGAATCTGCTCACTTGAGGAAGGAGTTCTGGTAACATAGTGGTTTCAAGTTAGGCTGCTAACCTCAAGGTCAGCAGTTTGAAACTTCCAGCTGTTCCATGGGAGAAAGATGAGGCTTTCTGCTCCTGTAAAGATTTACAGCCTTGGAAACCCTCTGCAAGGTAGCTGTGTGTTAGAACTGACTCCACGGCACATAACTACCACGGCCACCACCACTCACTGAGGAGGCCCAAGTTCTGTCTCCTCCTTGAAACTTCCCCTGGTTACTTCCTGAGAGTATTGACGGTACTCCACTTTCTCTGACTTCCTACAGTAATAATCTGTAGTGAAAACACCTAATTGTATGAATTACTTCCTCTCTGTCTGCCTTTTATCTCATCTTCCTTCCCCTTCTCATCCATTATATTTCCTATGTGGGATCTTCAAGACAATTCCTAGTTCCTTACTTGGTGGTGGTTGTTAAGTACCGTGGAGTCAGTTCCAACGCATAGTGACCCTTCACAGGGTTTCCGAGGCTGTAAATATTTACAGGAGCAGAAAGCCTCATCGTTATCTCGCAGAACAGCAGATAGTTTTAAACTGCCAACCTTGAGGTTAGCAGCCCGATTCGTATCCACTATGCTACCAGAGCTCCTTACTTGGTACTGCTCATTAAAAACTTGGAGACTGATCATTCAGTAGACAAACATTACTTGCTTTTGCTTTCAGTTAAATGAAGCGATTGACAACTTCCTTGGGCATTTGGCTCACAGAAAATCTTACTTAAAATAGGGAAATGACAAGGAATTTTATGCTTTCCTTCAGCAGACTGCTAATTGAGCAGGCTCTAGAATGTTCTTCCAGGGATGAAGTGTGAATAAGGACAGTCCCTGTCCTGAAGGAGCTCACCATGTAGTGAGAAAGACAGTTCTGATGTAACACAGACAATAAGCACTGACTGCTGAGATGTGCAGAGAGGTGAGAAGGCTTGCTAGAGGAAGGGACACTGGAACAAAAGCTTGACTTCATCTCTAAAACAAGTGACTTCTTCCATAGATAATACATATGCAAACTTGATCTTGGATGATATGATTGAGCTGCATGTGCCATTTAAGCGCAATACAATGTCAGTTACCATGTTTCTGTCTTACAGACAAGATGGTCTGCGTTTGGTAGCCCCAGTTCTCCCAGCAGAACTAAGGCGTCTGGCGCGTCACTCTCCACCACCCAGAGAAGGAGCCTGCCCAAAGGTACCCTGTAGTTAATAATAAATACAATGTCATAGTAGAAAGTTACTTTAAAGGAGACTTAGTCTCATCTTTGATGCTATATCAGGTGAAAATAAAAATGCTCCTTTACCCCTTGATAATAAAAATAAAGCATTCATTGTAAAAAACTTGGAGAGTATAGAAGAGCTTGAAAAAGAAACAATTACAATTTTTAACTTACTATTTTGGAGCCCTGGTGTGGCACTGTAGGATAAGTACTGGACTGCTAACTGTAAGGTCAGCAATTCAGACCCACCAGCTGCTCCTTGGACACAGGGTTGCTATGAGTTGGAACTAACTCAGTGGCACTTAACAACAACAACGTACTATTTTGGTGCTTATCTTTTTAGAAATGTATAAAAAATATATGTTTTAACATAGTTGAGTTCATATTGTATATCAATTTAGCCTGCCTTTTCCCCTTGATTTTATATTTTTGAGGATTTTCCCTGTAATTAAAAATTATTCATAAATATATGTAATTGACTACATAATAACCCTATTACAACAAAATATGCAGAATCAGAAAACCAAAAAGGAAGAACATAGCATTTCTCAAGCTGGGGAACTAAGGAAAAAATTCCAGCCTCGACTTCCATTATTGAAAGATTCACTGGGAAAATTATTGAATGATGCAGAAAGCATCAAGAGAAGATGGAAGGAATACACAGAGTCACTAGACCAAAAGGAAATGGTTCATGTTCAACCATTTCAAGAGGTAGCATATGATCTAGGGCCAATGATACTGAAGGAAGAAGTCCAAAGTGCATGGAAGGAATTGGTAAAGAACAAGGCACCAGGAATTGATGGAATAAAAATTGAAATCTTTCAAGAAAGTGAGGCAGCACAGGAGGCACTCACTTATCTCTGCCAAGAAATTTGGAAGATAACTATCTGGCTGACTGATTGGAAGAGATCCGTATTTCTGCCCATTCCAGAGAGGTGACCCAACGGAATGTGGAAATCATTGGACAATCTCTTTGCTATTCCATGTGAGTAAAGTTTTGCTAAAGGTAATACAGAAATGGCTACAATCATACATTGACAGAAAACTTCCAGAGGTTCAAGCTGGTTTCAGAAGAGGCCATGGAATGAGGGATATCATTGCTGATGTGCAATGGGTCTTGGCTGAAAGAGAATATCAGAAAGTTGTTTACCTGTGCTTTATTGACTATGCAGAGACTTTCGATTCTGTGGATCATGACAAGCTATGGACAACATTGTGAAGTATGAGTATTCCAGAACACTTAATTGTGCTCATGAGGAATCTGTACCAGGACCAAAAGGCAGTTGTTTGAACAGAACATGGGAACACTGAATGGTTTAAAATTAAGAAAAGTGTGTGACAAGGTTATATTCTTTCGCCATACTTATTCAACTTGTATGCTGAGTAAATCATCCGAGAAGCTGGGTTCTATGAAGAAAAACGTGGCATCAGGATTGGAGGAAGACTCATTAACAACCTGCGATATGCAGATGATACAACCTTGCTTGCTTCTATATTTCTCTGGCAGCCCTTGTCCAGACTGAACCCCAAGACTTCTTCATAAGAATTTGTACCTCATCTACCCCAGATATCCTTTGGAAGGAAAGGCACAGGAGTAAGGAGTGATTTAAGAAAGAGTTTGGGGCAAAAGGGAGAGTGAAGATCATCCCCACGTTAGAAGATCTTGACTAGGACTGCTTTGTGTAAGAGGCTTCCTCCTCCTTTAGTTTATTTCGTCATTGAAAAATCCTAAGTCAAATCCATGAGGGAGGGAGCTTGGAAAATCCAATTCAAGTCTAAGAGATATTAAGTCATTTTCCCCTTTATCTTCTTCCAGAACTGGTAGAAGCCATCTCACAACATCACATTGATGAGCTACCACCACCCTCTCAAGAACTACTTGATGAAATTGGTAAGAGATGTTCAGTGCAGTATGCTCTGTGGCCTGTGTCCAGGGTAGCTTTTCTTTGTCTCTGCTGTTGGCAGTAGTACAAAAGACCCTAGGATGCTCTGATTGAATGTACAAAATTCAAGAAGGGTAGTTACCTCATAAAATGGGCTGCAGGTTACTGCTTTAGGCTGGCCAGGATAATTGGTTTGTTTCTGTTGTCATGTTGGTACTTAAAGTGCCTATGGTAATGTCTAAGGAGGAAGAACAACATTCAAGTGGTTTCCTATGATGGTATTTAAAAAAGTATTGTGTTGTTGTGATTGCGATTACACACAGCAGATACTCTTCTTTTATTAAAGGAATTTCTATTGCCTTTTCAAACTTAACCATACCTTGAAGGCCAGAGATTTGGTTGCTTAGGCCAAGACATCTGTACTTTTTCAATTTTACCATTAGCACGAGCTACTAAAGATATTGTCATTGTGGATAAATATTTCTTGAGGACAAGAAAGTCAGTGTCACAAGACCTAATGAGACCAGAATTTTCCATTTCAGGCATAGGCTGAGTGGTGCCAGCTCAATTTTATTTTCAGCTAATGGGCCGGTCCTATCCTGCTGGAAATAAATGGTGCAGGATTGCTGAGGTGTTTGGAGGCAAGTGGCCAGCTTCGCTCTGAAGAGATCTGATTGCTCTCTTCTTGACTGCCTAGCCTACGAGCCTCGCAACATCAGCAGACGCATCTCATGAGACCGTTTGTGGTCCAATTCTTATTATTGGGCATGTAGAGAATTTCCAGTGATCCCGGTGGGCACAATGGTTGAGTGCTGAACTGCTAACTGAAATGTCAGTGGTTCAAACTCACTATCTGCTCTGGGAGAAAGCTGTGGCAGTTGGCGGCTTCTATAAAGATTCCACCCTTGGAAACCTTGTGGAGAGTTCTGCTCTGTCCTTGAGAGTTACTGCGAGTTGGAATGACTCAATGGCACGCAATCAGAACATTTTCTGAGGGGCACTACTTGGTTTTCAGTGTCACAGAAAAAGGCAGGTAAATGAGGACTTACCTGTCTACCCTGTAGACTCTCACACCTCCCAGCCCCTGGCCTGATGAAGGAAGGTAGGGCCAATCAGAGCTGCCAGAAGCTTAAGTCCTTTCTAGGAGTCCCTGCGTGGCACAAATGGTGACATGCTACACAACTAACCCACCTGGAGGCACCTTGAAGGCCTGATGATCTGCTTCCTAAACGTCACAATCTTGAAAAGCTTTTGAGGCACAGTTCTACTGAGCACTCATGGGGTCACCATGAGTTGGAATTGACTCGATGGAAATTAACAACTGGCTCTTTTGTTAACTCCCCTCACCCATCACCCAGTGCCACAGGCGTATAAGTCTCTGCGTTGTTGGGTCAGGCTCTTAGCACTCCCCTTCGTCATTCTCCTCTGAGACATCCTAGTTCATTCTTGCAAATTCCTGTTCTAGTTGCTTTTTTTAAAAAGTTAAATAGTACTACTGCTTGTGAGAGTAGGCATCACCCATACATGTAATGCTTAGGAAGATTCTAGGTGTCATCTCTTTGTCAGTCATGGCTTATGCCAGTGTTTTAGACCTTGCTGTTTGACAGTAGCTGATTCTTTTCCTCTGTCTCTTGCTGTCCTCTTATGTGGCACCTCCCACCCATGTCCCCAGCTACCCCATTTCAGCAGTGCTGCAGCCTCCCAGCTCTGCTGCCCCCCAGCACACTCTGCCCAAGCCCTCGCTCATCTCACTTGTGGAAATTATCTGGGCCAGGTTTCTAGGTGATGTCTGTACTTTAAGATGGGTCAGTAATTTTCCAGAAAGATGGGGGGCAAAGGAGACTTGAGTAGCTTCTCTTTATAATGAACCATCTCAACCATTATTGCATGTTGGATCCTCTCAGGAGAACGGTGGGGAGTGGCCAGGGCATTCACTTCTCCTGGAGGGTTCCCATCCAAAGCTCTTGGCTCCTGAACCCCAAGTGTTTTAGTTACCTAGCTCTGCAATGACAGAAATACCACAGGTGGGTCGTTTTCACAAACAAACTTATTATCTCGCAGTTTAGGTGGTCAGAAGTCTGAATTCAGTGCTTCAGTTCTGGAGAAAGGGCTTTTTCTCCTTTCAGCTCCTATAGGCCTAGCATTCCTTGGAGATTCCCATGTGTCTTTGGCATCAATCTTTCCGTGGATCTAGGAGCTTCGTAGTGCAGGGACCTCAGGTACACTCCACTCCTGACTCTTCTTTATTGGTGGTAATATGTCCCTCTGAGCTCTGCTTGCTTGTTTAATCTCTTATATTTTCAGAAGAAATAGGCTCAATATACATACAGCCTAATCTATAGATTGCATCTGACCTCATTTACATCACTGTTGTTGTTATCATTGAGTTGTTTCCAACTCATCAGCAACCTTGTGTACAACGAATGAACTATTGCCTAATCCTGTGCTACCCTCACAGTTGTGATCGTGTTTGAGCCCATTGTTGTTGCCGTGGCGTCAGTCTATCTTGTTGAGGGCCTTCCTCTTTTTCACCGGCTCTCTACTTTGCCAAGCATGGTGTACTTTTCCAGGGACTGGTCCCTCCTGATAGCACGTCCAAAGTATGTGAAATGAAGTTCCTCCCTCCTTGCTTCCAAGGATGATAATTTTGGCGGGAGGATAGGGTAGGGGTGGGTAGGAGTACAAAGTTAGGGTTAGGATTATGGCTTTTCTTTTAGAGTATTAGATATGCCATTCCATTGTCTTCTTGCCTGCATTGTTCTGCTGGGAAGTTAGAACTTAGTCTTATTAGAACTCTTCTTTACAGGTAACTTTCTGTTTTTTCTGTATTGCTCTCAGAATTCTTTCCTTGTCTTTGGTTTTGAAAATTTTGGTTATCCATTTATTTTGTCAGATCGTTAATATAGTGTTTTCCTGAATTCTTTTAAAGGTCTTTTTTTGTGTGTATATTCTTGCTTTCATCTATCTTTCTCTAAATATGTTGAAGGTACCTAAATAACATTCTTTTAAATTCCTTATCAAGTAGGTTCTGACTCCTTTTCTGGTATTTTATTTTCTGACTCTGTGTTTTGGTTACTTGTTTGAGGTGCTCTGTCTCGTTTCTTTGTATAAGCTGAAATTTTCTGTTTTCTCCAAGACATTGTGATATCGTTATAGTTAGATTTGATTGACAATTTATGTTGGTGTGTTCTCAGGCACTCACCATGTGTCTCCTGGTGGAAGCATGAACACAGCTCTCTGTTTACTGTTTGAATAGGTTTAGGCAGGTTCACATGCCTCCAGAAGCATATGCGGCACTCCCAGTGTCCAATCCCAGGCAGAGCTGGTGCTATGCAGGTGGGGTGTCACTGTTCTGTTTCACTTGGTCTCCCATGTCTTTGTTACAAAGGGTCTGCTCAGTGCATCTACTTACTGTGTTATCTCGCCCCAGAAATCTCTTTCCTTTCTTCATATATGATGTTCTTGATATCATCCCACAACTCTTCTGGCCTTTGGTCGTTAATCTTTTATGCATCATATCTGTTCTTGAGTTATTTTCTAAATTCAGATGGGATATACTCAAGGGTCATATTTTGACTTTTGTGGACTTTAAAAAATTTTCTTGAGCTCCAACCTGAAGGTGAGTACTTGATCTGTTTCCACAGTAGGGATGGGGTTCTGATGTGGGGCTGTGGGTTAATGCGCTGGACTGCAAGGTCAGTTTGAACCCCAAGGTCAGCGGTTCAAGCTCACCAGCCACTCCTCAGAAACTCTATACAGGATCACTATGGGTTGGAACCGACTCGATGGCACTTAACAACAACAACAGAGGTGGGGGGAAATATGGATTGCTCTGATGTTATGAGTATTTTGAGAGAATATAAAAAATAGAGATTAAAAACATAAGCCTTAGAACTAGACGACATACACACACACATCCCTGCCTTGGAGTCAATTCTGACTCATCATGACTTTATAGGACAGAATATATTGGTTCCATAAAGTTCTCAAGACTATAAATCTCCCTCAGAGTGGCTGATGGGGTCAAGCCACCAACCTCTCAGGTTTGCAACCCAGTGCTTTAACCACTGTGCACCAGAGCTAGACTGTCTAGATTCAAATCCCAGTTTTACCACTTACTATCTATGATTTTAGTCTGGTTCCATAGTTTTCCTCTGCCTTCATTTCCTCATCTATTAGAGAGAAATAATAACAATGGGGTCATCCACATAAGGTTGCTGTGAAAATTAGTGTATGTAAGAAACAGCACCTGCCACACAGGGCTCTGTATGTGCTAGCCTATCCTTAGCAATAGTAACAGCAGGTTTGTTTTTATTTTTAGTATTACGAAGAATTCCTTTCAAGTCTGGCATGTCCCAGAGCAGTGGTTTCAACTTCATCAGGCAGAACAATCACCTGGAGGGCTGGTTAAAACACAGATGGCTGAGCCCCAGCCCCCCAATTTTTGGTTCAGAGGGTGTGGGATGGGGTTGGGAATTTGCGTTTCTAACAAGTTCCCAGGTTAGTGAAGTTGCTGGTCAGAGGACCATCCTTTGAGAAGCTCTGCTGTGACATGTAACCAAAGCCCCAAACCAACCCCAGTGCCGTTGAATCACTTCTGACTCATGGAGACCCTCCATGCATGCAGGAACTGCTCCACAGGCTGTTCTTGGCTATAATCTTCATAGAAGCAAATTTCCAGGGCTTTTGTCCCCATAGTTGCTGTGGTTTGGCTCCAACTGTTGACCTTTAGGATGGTGGTGGTGGTGGTTGTGTGCCCTGGAGTTGGTTCCAATTCATAGCAACCCTGTATAGGATTTCCAGGGCTGTAAATCTTTACAAGAGCAGAAAGCCTTATCTTTCTCCTGCAGAGTTGCTGGTAGATTCAAACTGCTGACCTTGGGGTTAGCAGCCCAGCTCATAATTTCAGTTTGGTAGTTTGCCACCCTGGGACCTTAAGAAGGACATAGCTTGCCTTCTGCCTTTGTGTTGTAACAGAGCACTTGAAGCAGCAGCAGGCCTCAGTCACAGTGTTGGAGGAGAATACAGCGAGGAACCCAGGCAGTTCTTCCGATGGTAAGAAGCTAGATATGCACATCTCCTTCACACAGAGGGTGTTGGTAGGAGTTAAGTGAGGGTGGCTTAGGCAGCATGCCTGGCATCCCTTCCCCACCCAGATTCCTTCTCTGGGGCTCCAATCATGGAAACATCTAACAAAGGGGAACAGGTTGGTTCTCCAAATTGGTGCAATGGGTTTTCAGAGTCCTCTGCCTCTTTTATGTGCCCGTTGTTTCCTGTACTTGCTGCTCTCTCTCTAGCCCTGGCACAGGCAAGATTTCCTGTAGCCTCACCTGGCACCAGAGAGCTGCCAAGACCCCAGAAGCAGCTGCTGTGAACATAGGCGCCACGTGTCACCTGGCCCCTGCTCTCAGGAGACAACTGGTGCATTTCATACTTCAGGGGCCCCTGAGTGGCGTTCATGTTAGCCACTCCATTTCAAGACAGGCTTTCTAAAAACGTTGTTGTTATAGTAAAGTTAACTCTTTCAATTGTTTTTAGATCAAAGGCATTTAGAAGAGCAAGAAACTGACAGTAAAAAAGAAGATGGCAGTATACTTTGGAGCAAAGAAATTGAGGAACTAGAAGACACGGAAAGGTAACAGAAAAAGCTGGACTTTTGAAAGGACTTCAAATTTCTTACTAGTTGGTATTGGTTTCTTTACTGAGATTATAAATAAAAATAGAACAACCAAACAAACTAGTTATTTTCCTTACTAGTCTAATAACCCGTATATTTTTAAAAAGGTGGCTTTTTGGCTTTGTTTTTACATCTGAGGAGGTTTCAACTTCTTTTAAAATATTTTAGATAGAGAGCTTGGAGGGAAAAGTCTACATCTTTCTAGTCAAATCAGAGAAAATAGGGGAAAACATCCAGACTATTTAGTCTTAAAACAGAAGGCTGCTTCAGACACCGGAGTCCACCCTGGATTTAGTGTTCTTGTGCTTGTGTTGGAAGATTAACCACCTCACCTCTCCTCCTTTACCTCTTGACTTCTGTCCTGTACCAAACTGTCATTCAGGGCCAGGATGGGGTGAGGGAGGCAGTCTCCTTGGGCACAGAATGTAAGGGGGTCCCTCCAAACTCAAGATAACTAATTAAGAAAATTTTGATTTTTGGAGAAATTTTACTTAGCAAGTTAGGTTCTCATTTAACAATGGTGGCATAGTGGTTACGAATCAGGCTGCTATCCTCAGGGTCAGCAGTTCGAAACTACCAGCTGTTCCGCAGGAGAAAGATGAGGCGTTCTGCTCCCATAAAGATTTACAGCCTTGGAAACCCCTGTGCAGGGTCACTATGAGTTGGAACTGACTCTACAGCGCATAACAACAACAACAATTGAGTATCATTGGTTACGCTTGGCACAGTGTGTTAGCATTCTCATTTCCATTCTGGTTGTTCTGTTTCCATTTATCTAGTGTCCTTGTCCCCTTGTCTTCTCATCTTTGGTCTAGGGGAACTGTTGCTCATTAGATCTCATTTAAATGGTAGTTTAGAGGAGCACCGTAGTCACAGGTGGTCTTATTTATGAGCCACGCTGTCTTTTGACTGGTAGGTGACCTCTCAGAGTGGTTTGAGTTCCAGGTTTAAAGGATATCCCTGGACAGTTCCTCGGCTCTCTACTGGTATAGTAAGTCTGACCTTTTTAAGGAATGTACATTTTGTTCTACATTTGTTTCTCATTCTGTCTTTGGCCATTTATTGTGTCCCTGGTCTGAACAGTCAGTAGTGGTAGTCAGACACCATCTAGTTCTGGTCTTAAGGTAGGTGAGACCATGGTTTGTGCAGACAGTTAGTCCTGTAGATTAATTTCTTCATGGTGTCTTTAGTTACCAACTTTCTCTTTTGCTTCAGATGCATGGAGACCAATAGTTGTGCCTTAGATGGTCACTTACAAACTTTTAAGACTTCAGATGCCTCACTAAACTCGGATGTAGTACATTAACTATATGTCATGACAGTTGGCCAAGTTGTCCTCCGAGAGTATGTCCTAGACCCTCAAACCCGTCACCCCACTCCTTTGAGGTGTGATTAGTTATGTTTAGAAAGTATCTAAAACTGTGCCTCCTGTGTGTTTTATTTTATATATGAATACATATGCAGCACACACAAACATGTGCATACATTTGCCTACAAAAACACCTATACCTGGACACCGATGTATTCATATGTGCTTACCTGTACATATGTAGGAGTCTTGGTGTGGCCCGATAGGATAAGCACTGGACTGCATGGTCAGTGGTTCAAACCCACCAGTTGCTTCTAGGAAACCCTGTATAGGGTCATTATGAGTTAAAACGGACTCAACCACACATGTAAGCGTATGTTTCTACCCACGACCAAACTTTGTCTGTCATACTTAGGACATATTGTCAGGAGGGACCAGTTGCTGGAGAAGGATATCATGTTTGGTAAGGTGGAGGGTCAGAGAAAAAGAGGAAGACCCCCCAGCGAGATGGATTGACAAAATGGCAGCATCAGTGGGCTCAAGCATGGCAACAATTGTGAGGTTGGCCTAGGACCAGGCAGTGTTTTATTCTATTGTGCATAGGGTTGCTACGAGTCGGTATCGACTCGATGGCACCTAACAGCAACAACAACAACAACCACACACATATTTTTTTGGTTTTAGTTACTGTTGTTTTGGGGAGCACTGTGGCTTTGCAGGATAAATACTGGACTGCAAACTACAAGGTCAGCAGTTCGAGTCCTCCAGCTGTTCCACAGAAGAAAGATGGAACTTTCTGTTCCCGCAAAGACTCACAGTTTCAGAAATCCTATACCAGGTCACTATGAGTCAGAACTGATTCGACAGTACTTAACAACAGCAACATTACTGTTGTTGTAAAATTGTGTATGTTGCAACTTTTATCAAAGTTGTCCCTTATTCTTGTATGCTTCTTAGTGTTGTCTTTTCCCTTGGTCAAGTTGTGTTGGCTTCACCCTTATTCAGTATTGTGTTATCTGTCACCAAAACTTAAAAGTGTCTACTATCTAGAAAGCCATTCCCCCTCCATCTCCCTCCATCCTTGATAACCACCAAAGAATGTCACTTTCTGTGTGTATATGTTGGCTCTTGTTGTTCTATAACAGTGAGATCATGCTGTGTTAGTTCTTACATGAGTGATTTATTTCACTCAGCATACTGTCTTCCAGATTAATCTATGTTATATTTCAAGAACGAATTATTCTTTATGGCTACTGAGTATTCCATTGTGTGTATACACCACAGTTTGTTTATCCATTCATCTGTTCGTGGACAGTTTGTTTGTTTCCATGTATTTGCTAGTGTGAATAGGTATGCATGTATATGTTTGTGACCCTAGCTTTAGTAGGATTGCTGGATCATAAGGTATTTCTATTTCTAGTTTTTTGAGGAAGCACCATACCATTTTCCATAGTGGTTGAACTGGTTGACAATCCCACCAGCAGAGAAGCAGGATTCTAGTCTCCTCCACAACCTCACTAGCATTTATTGGTTTCTGTTTTTTTGATTGGTGCCATTTTTGCTGGGGTGAGAAGATAAAGAATATTTAATATATTACTTATATTTATTTATCTATTGATTTATTTATATAATTATACTTATTTATCTGTTGAATTAAAATAACATTTTAATTCAATATTTTTAAAAAATCATAATGAATACAAAAAAAAATTCTATGATGAATAAAATATTTAAAGTTTAAAAGAAGACAAGATCTGACCCTGCTTTTCCACCACTGACCTCACCCTAACCAAGGCCCTGTGGGTCCTTGGAGAGCCATTCATAATGCTTTTAGCTGCAAATGACAGAAAACCTCACCACTGTGCTTCACTGAGGTTGTCTCACCTAACAAGAGGCCCAGAGGTGGGCAGGGGCTTGGCTGTTGGGCAGCTCAATGATGCTTCCGGGGACTTTGGCTCTTTTGATCCTCCTGCTCTGCCACCTCTAGCATGTTGGCTTTTGTCCTCTGGCTTGTCACCTCCTGGCTGTAGGCAAGGGAATATGCTAACTGACTGCCTTTTTTTATCCAGAGTTAAAGTTCTTAGTTTCTCAACTGCCACTGAAGAGGAAGGCAGTGGAAAAGAGTGTTATGAATAACTTTTGGGTAATGAATCCAGAGCCTGTCATACTCTTCAAGGGATAATGTAAGGAGGGAAAAGAGAGAGATGCAAAGAAAGGTCTGGGACGTAGAGTTGGAAAGGAACCTGTGATCTAAGGGGAAGGTGGCGAGATGGCAAAAACAAAGAGGCTAAAGGGAAGGAAAAGGTGTTTTTTAAGGAGAAGTTTTAGGAAACTTTTTCTGTGAGTTGTGATGTAACTTCTTTCCTTCCATCTTCCCAAATACCTTCAGTTAAGTGTCTTTGTCAAGGGAGAATGGCTATGACTTTCATCTTAATTCTTTTCTCTTGCCTTTGGACAGAGCTCACTCTACTCTGGACGAGGACTTGGAAAAATGGCTGCAGCCACCAGAGGAGAGCAAGGGACTCCAGGACCACCCAGAGGGCTCTGCAAGGTTATTGTTCCCCAGCAGGGAATCCTTTATTTCTTCCATAGGATGCAGGGCTGGCTTGTTTTGTTTTGTTTTGAATGTCTAGACTCCTAGGAGGATGAGTAGCTGGTGCTGGTTTAAGTTAGCTTTTCTATCTGCACTCTTGTGCTTGCTCCTCTTCCTCCAACCCCCCACAGTGCTCACGCTACTGAGTAGCAGATTGATGTCAGTGTAGAGAATCATCCAAGATTGCAGTGCCTTGGCCCTGCCACCTTCAACATTTTCGTCAGTCATTTGAATTAAATCCGAAAAGGCAGGCTCGTCAGATGTTCAGATAACACAAATCTAGGAGTGAATCTAGTGTGATGGTCCTGACAGGTGGAAACGTTAGATTTCCCTAAAAGATGAAGGTAACCGTTTAAATCCAAAAAGCATGGCATGTGGGAGGCGTGACCTTATTGGGGACTTGTTTATGCGAAGCTGCTACTCACTATAACTTCATCAAGAGCAGGAAATGCGCCTTGTTTTTATATGCCCAGCACTTGGCATGCATCTTGAAGCATGGTAGGAATTTGAGAACTGTGTTTTGGAAGATACAAGGACATTTACTCGGGCGTCCCTGAGTTTGATGCACTTGCTCAAATACCCAAACCAAACTCACTGCCGTTGAATCCATTCTGAGTCATAGCGGCCTTAGAGGACACAGTAGAACTTCCCTGTAAGCTTTACAGAGCAGACTGCCACATCTTTCTTTGGTGGAACAATTGGTGGGTTTTAACACCAATGTTTTGGTTGACAGCTAAACGCTTTAACCACTACATCAGGGTTCCTTCTAAAAGGTCAGCAAAGCATGAATGCTGAATAAACAGATATTTTCCGGATTATCTCATACTAAATGTTTAGAGGACTTCAAGAACACCATTCTGGATGTCCCATATTAAAAGTGACATCAACAAACAGAAGTGGGTGGCTATAGTCGGAGGTCTGGGAACCATGTCCTTTGAGGACAGCAGAAGGAGCCAGGAAGGCTCCATCTGAAGAACAACAGACGGAGTAGAGAATTTGGTACCTGCCTTTAAAGATCTGAACTACTGTATTGTAAAGGGAAGAGTCAGTTTACTCTTCACTTCTCCAAAGATTCGGTTAGCAATAAGAAGCTGCAGACTAAATGCTTTTGATTCAGAAGCTGCGTAGACTTTCAGCAAAAATATGGTCCCATTCCACCTTCCCCAACTCTCTCGTACACAGCTAGGTTCAATAATTCATTGCAATGGCCACACTGAAATCAGACACCATACTAAAAGTTATAGGGCTTATTAGGGAAGTGGTTGTTGTTAAGTGCTGTCGAGTCAGTTCCGACCTGTAGTGACCCTGTATAGGGTTTCCAAGGAGTGGCTGGTGAGCTTGAACCACCAACCTTGTGCTTTAAACCACCTTTGCAGTTTAAGGTATTAACCCACAGCACCACACCAGTTTATAATTTGGGGTCAGAAATAGTCAGGGCACAGTTGTTCTAGTCAGCTGCTGATAAATGCTCATGGGACACACACTCCACCATGAACCTCAGCCTGAAGGCACTTGGCTCTAGCTCTGTGGGTCAGCAAATCTAGTTCTCCCACTTAGGATCCTGGGGGCACCCCACTCTACAAGCAAGCTTCCTGTCCAAAGATACTCACCTTCACTTGTTCCATGGGCTGGGAAGCCCACTGCTCTGTCTCGTGCTCTGTTGTTCTGGTTCTTGGTTCTGCTGCTGCTGCTGCCCCTATGTCATCGCTTTCTGTCCCTAGGTCGAAGAGGCTCAATGCGCAGGGATCTCAGAGTCCAAAGGACGGTCTCCACACCTGGGTCTTCTCTTTTAATGGTAGTGAGATACCCCACTCCTACTTCTGAGATGGTTCATTTTATATACAAGCTAGAGTTTCCAGTTTTTACAATTACTCTGCTGACATTCACAGCTGAATTACATCATCCTATCAGTATCTTTTCCCACCTCCTCTTACCCAGACCCAGCAGAACAGAGACGTTGTTTGGTGGGAATTACAGACTATAACTAGAGGAGACATAAGATAATTTGCTACATCACACTCCCTAATTGCCATTGCTGTCTGACAGTGAAGCCTGTAGGCTTTCACAACACCCACTGCTGCTCCAGCAGAGGCCTGATGGCCCTCTAGTCTCTGGCATGGAGATGGAGGTAGAAGAAAGTCACCGTAGGCCTCTTCCATCTCTAGAACTGTGATTCTAAGAAGAATGGGAGATTATGAGGAAAGAAGTTTCTTTCCATCCTCACGGGGTTTATTCTCTCTCATTTTAATAATTTGTTTCACATATCCATCACATGAAAACAGAATAGTGGTCCCTGGACAGAATTGACTTGGCTCAGCCAGTATCTGTTTGCACTGAGCATGAGCCAAGTGCTGAACTGGGGGCTGGAAGTGCAAAGAGGAATTAAAGACGTCTCGATCCTTAAGGAAAGGAGCCCTGTAGTGTAATGGTTATGCGTTAGGTTGCTAACCTCAAGGCCAGCAGTTCAAACCTGAAGCTGCTCCAAAGGAGAAAGGTGAGGCATTCTGTTCCCATAAAAAGATTTACTGCCTTGGAAACCTGATACAGAGTCAATAGGTGTCAGGACTAAGTCTACAGCACACAACCACCAACCTTAAAGAGCTTATAGTTAGCTGACTAGTGGAGAGAGTTTTTGCTCAATCGTTTTATAAATATGATCTTCAGTTATTACATACATCATTCTCTCAGAGGTTTCAGAAAATAAAGATAAGGCAATAAAATAAATGGTGTTTGTAAAAAAAAAAGGTTCCAATTACAACATAACTAAAATGCATTTTTCCTTTGAGCCAAGATACCCTAATGGTTGAGAGCAGACTTCCTGAGTTCAGATCCCAGCCCTAACAGTTAACTTCTCTGTGTCTCAGTTTCTTCATCATGTAATGGAGATGGTAGTGGTAACTATCTCATATGACTGTTACAAGATTAAATAATGTGAATATACGTAAAAGTCCTCTAACCAATGGCTGGCCCATAGAGAACTCTCCATTAACGTTACCTAATATGTTAGTGGAGTCCTGGTGTGGCGCTGTGAGTTAATGCACTGGACTGCAAAGTTGGTTTGAACCGCAAGGTTGGCGGTTTAAGCTCACCAGCTGCTCCTTGGAAACCCTATACAGGATCACTATGAGTCAGAACCAACAACAACAACAACAAATATGCTAGTAACTACTTTTATGAGGCAGTGCCAATCCCCTGGCCAGTGTGCACATGATTTGATATTCAAAATTATTGTCATTGAAGGGAGACTAATACTAAGGATCAAGCAGTTGATGAAAAGAAGAGACAAGGCGAAGAAAGCATCAATCCAGAGAGAAGGAAATCAGAGAGCTTTTTAGGGACCTCTGAAGAAGGTATGAATGAACAATTGTTTATAACGTAGTAGATATATAGTACTTAGACTTTGGTGAGCATCATGGTTATCTTGACAGGTTTCCTAGATGCTATCAGTATAGCCCAGCTACCTTTGATTATTTCTTTTTCCCTATAGTTCAGATTTTCTGTTAATTGCCATCACAAAACATTAATAACCTCCAGTTCCATTTCTAAAGCTAGTCTTCAGTCCAACTCATTATCATTATCTTGCACGTTGTCTGGAAAGATGTTTTGATTCTAATCGTCTAAAACCTTCAAAAAGATCTAAATTTAGCTCACCCCAAGGCAGCAGACTCCAATAGTAAGTAATGTATTATGTAACATCATTGGGGTATACAAGTACTGTGACAGCTAGAAATTAACCTTAATTTCAAAACAATTTTGATAGTACTTTAAGGCTTCTGCTATGCCATTCAGAAATGTCTCCTTTCTGTATTTTTTGTTGTTGTTGTTGTTGTTAGGTGCCATTGAGTCGATGCCGACTCACAGTGACCCTGTGTACAACAGAATGAAACACTGCCTGGTCCTGGGCCAAGCTCACAATTGTTGCCATGCTTAGGCCATTGATGTTTCTGTAATTAAGTGCCTCTTACTCAGTACACTAGAGACCTTAACTCTTTCAGATCACATGTTATTCTTTTCCATCCCTTCACTAGTCCACTCTCATTCTCCTCCCTTTCCTGCCCTGCTTTATGCCCCAGGAGGCAGACCCTCTCTGTGTCGCCTGGGTTTCTTGACCAGTTGGCTTCCTATTGGCCACTGGGGTCAGAGGACAGGAGAGAAGGTGGGGTATTCCTCTTCCTTCCTCCCTATTTCAGCACCTGGTCTCTGATAGAAGCAGTTTCCCTCCCTTCAAAACACAGCTTCTGTAAGGCAGCCCATGCTGGTAACTGTTTCCTTGCCTTATCCCTTCAGACATAGAAGTGATAGGCTTACTGCTGCTGCTAGCCACTGGGTCCCTTGCCATCCCTGTTTGCTCCTTTAACCCTAACTTGAGTCCTGGTGTGGCACCATGGATTAATGTGCTGGGCCACAAAGTCAGTTTGAACCACAAGATTGGTGGTTCAAGCTTCACCAGCCGCTTCTCGGAAACCCTATACAGGGCCATTATGGGTTGGAACTGACTCGACGGCACTTAACAACAACACACCTCTGTAAGTAGTCACTTCATTAAGGGGTCTTTATTTGAACCATCTGTGAACATGTTCTGTTTTCAACCAGACTGGCACAGGACCCACAGTGTATGAACATTTTAGCCAGTTTTGAGTTCACTGAGAAGATAATGTAGGAACTTGGTGAATCCGTGTCATTCATGTCCATTGCTATGGCAGGGAGTTGTAGAAGATTTGGAAGGAAAAACCCATCAACTGAGTTTTCAAAAAGATTCTATCTCTGAAGCATAAAATAGCACTCATGGGTAATACAGTCTACCCTAAACTGATGGGACTTCTGAATACTGGCATTCTTTAATCTTGAAAGTAATCTAATTTTTTCTTCTTCATATATTTCATCAAGATGAACTAAAACCCTGTTTTTGGAAGCGACTGGGTTGGTCTGAGCCATCCAGGTAAATGAGATATTAGATGTTTATAGGGCAGAAGTTCACTGTTTATAGACAACTTGATCAGACTTTAAACACCTAACAGCACCTAAATAAATACTAATGGAAAAAATTTTAATTTGGGCAAGGTTGCTCAGTTTTAAATTTTTAAATGTCTATGGTTAATTAAAATGTAAAGTGAAATTAATGTTACCTTATCTGATTAAGTAGTAGAGTCAGCGCAAGAACAGTTTTAGCAGAGAGAGTACAGAAAATTCTTCTATTAATTGCCTTGTAATTGTTTTACGTTACTTTGATATACTAGTTGATTATAATCTCCTGATGTATAAAAATCAAAATCCTTTCCTTTTTCTTTGAATTTAATGAAATAGAAAGAGAGGGTGCTATATCATTTTAAAAACTTGCATACCAACTCAGAACTCCCTTTTTTGCTCTTTATAAAACATGTACACAGGATAATTGTGCTGGATCAGAGCGACTTGTCAGACTGACCTGAGATGGATCACAGATGGACTCCTGGCCTGAGTGTCAGGGCCCGGGTCATGAACTTCCTTGTTGTCTCATCTGTACGGTTCCTTCCAGGCCCACAGTTCAGGAACTCATGCTTTGTTCAGCTGCTACAATAGGTTGAAGAGTTTGGTGCCCTGTCAGTTTGCAGGGCATTTAACCATTTGTCTTGTCATATTTTTGAACAGTGACAACAGTTTCTTGATTGTAGAAATTTCTCTTGTGCCCAGAATGGCTTTAGTTTTTGTTGATACAGATTTTAGAAAACTTTAACTTCTGTTATATAATAAAATGTTTACTTTTAATACCAGTTACGTTTCCACTGTGTATGATGCTGTTTCTGTGTTTGAGTTATTGAGAGGAAAGGGAAAGATATGCCACCCAAAAAGATTTAACAACTAGGTGACCTGAGCAGACTTTAAAAATTTATCAGCAACTAAATAAATACTGATGACAAAAATTTTAATTTGGGCTGCTGCTACCTATTGTACAAGCTAGTACCAGTTGCCCATGTTTTATAACACCAATACTTCCCCTCTTAGTGGCTGGGATTTTTATCTTCCCATCCCAGTTAGAATTGGTTTATATAATAAAAGTACAGATGGGAGTAAAATTCCAAGATGTATACAAACATCATTTCTGTATATATTGGATTGTACACATTCCATCATGTCTTAGAAGAATAAAAATTTGGTACGACAAAGAACACAAACATTTTCTCCAATTTAGTTTCGTAAGACCACTGGACAGATGCGTATGTGTGCCAAGACTGGATATTAGGAGGATTATATGAGTATCTACTTCCAGTTTGGAGTCTTTACATATGGATATAAACCTTTTCTTGGAAGCTGTGTGCTGTTGCTCAATACTAGCCAGTCAAAGTTTGCTTCTGTCTTGGTGAGTAAGCAGTATAGGTCTTATTTTGAGTGAAAACTGAGTTGTTCTGTTGTGGCTGGTCCTATTTGTAGTTCTTCACTCTCACAATTTTACCCCGTACAAATTTACTTGAGCATTTTAAAGCAAGGAAATGGTTTCTTGCCATTGTAACCCAAGGAAGACCACCAGAAAACATAAAATTGTGTACAAACACAATACAGTAAGACCTATGAAAACCAGAACCTAGGTAAGGCAGAAACCAGTCAGAGAAGAAAAGCGCAAATATTTTTCACTAAAAGGAGAGATGGAAACGTGGCAAGCCTATACACTGTCAAAGGTAGAAAACTTTCAAGACCTGGAAAAACAAGTCATTCGAGCTCTCACAGTTACTATGTGTAAGGAACTCTGAGGGGCTCAAAGATTTTTAATACATAACCCTTCCTTTCAAAACATTAACTTCCTAATCGGTGAGATAAAACCAACATCTATAAAAATACAAGAATTGCTAGTAGGCATATCATGAGAAATGCTAAGGTAGGTTAGAGCATTCCTTTTTAGCACTCATGCAGGCTACAGATCCTGCAGCAACTCCCACCAAGCTGGATTATAACAGTCTGTCTACAAGGCCAGCAGAGTAGACGCTTCTATCTGGATGTTGACTGTAATATTGGCCAATATTAACAACAATAATAGTTGTGATAGGTATTATTGATGGAGTACCTATTTTGTGCTGTCACTGTTTGTCTATCAGTTGTCTTACTGCGGTGGCTTATGCGTTGCTGTGATGCTGGAAACTATGCCGTTGGTATTTTAAATACCACCAGGGTCACTCATGGTGGATGGTTCCAGTGGAGTTTCCAGTTTAAGGCAGAGTAGGAGGAAGGGGAGGCAGACTGTTTCTGAATGTTTTGCCACTGAAAACCTTATGAATAGTGCTGGAAGATGAGCCCCTCAGGTCTGAAGGCATTCAGCGTGGTGACAATAATAGGCTCATCATTCAGGGACTCCAGAAAGTTTGGGAATACTTAACTCATAACAATTGTGAGGAGGACGCAGAACTGAGAAGTGTTTTGTTCTGTTATGTACAGGGTTGCTATGAGTTGGAACACCTAACAGCACACCTGTATGTGCTAGTTATTTAACAAAGCTCTTAGGTGACTGTCATCCTTTGATCTAGTCTGATGCTGCTGGTCCATGTACATTACAATCGGAAAAGCGAGGTTTTAGAGGACTTTACTCCAAGGCAGTAGTTCTCAGTCCTGACTGCACTTTAGAACTATGCGAACATTCAAGCACCACACTGATTATTGGATTTATTTGATGGGGTAGAGTATGGGTGTCTGTGTTAATTCAAAGCTCTCCAAACCAAAACCAAACCCACTGTCATCAAACAGATTTCCAACTCATAGTGGCCCTGGATAGATACGGTTTCCAAGACTGTAAATCTTTATAGGAGCAGAAAGTCTCATCTTTTTCCTGAGGACTAGCTTGGGGGTTTGAACTGCTGACCTTGTGGTTAGTAGTCCAAAGCTCTCTAGGTGATTGTAATATGCAGCCAGAATTGAGAACCACTGTGGACAAAGATGTGGTTACGTAAAAGCATGCTTATTGCAACTTTGCTTATAGTATTTAGAAAATGGAAACTACCTAAATGTCCAATAATAAAAGACTGGTTAAAAAAATGACTAAACAACCAAAAGTGGACTAATTGGAATTGATAAAGATACAAGGTTCTGGACACATTTTCACTCACGTATTATGGAATAAGAAATACTAGTTAGTGTTGTTGGTGGTTTTATCTACTGTTGAATCAGTCCCCAAATAATGGTGACCCCATGCAAAATGGACCAAAATGCTACCAGATCCTTGGTTGTGGATCAGACCCTTGTGATCCATGGGGGTTTGTTGGCTAAATTTGGTGAGTAGGTCAGCAGGCCTTTCTTTCTTATCTCTGTCTTATTCTGGATGCTTCACTGAAACTGTTCAGTATCACAGTGACACATTAGCCTCCTCTGAGAGATGGGTGCCGCTTGTGAGGTATGCTGGCCAGACATCAAACTCAGGTTTCCCTCATGGTAGGTGAAAACTCTACCTCCAAATCACCAATGCCTTGTAGGAGGTAGAGTAGGATCCCAACTATGTAAATATAAATAAATACAAAAATGCATGTGGTAAATGTATGCATAAAGGTATCTTAGAAAGATGGTTATTGACATAGTGATCCTTTCAGGGTGGTGGCATTTCAGGTGATTTCAGCTTTTTATAATTCTTGGTAAAACTGTTTTTATTTGGGGGAATAAAAAAGGTTTGTAGTTGAACGCTTCTGACTTGCGGTGACCCCCCCGTGGGCAGAATGAAACAGCTCCTCACAGTTTTTTGTTTTTTGTTTTATGTGAAAGTTTGCTCCTCAGAGTTTTAAAGGCTGTGACCTTTTGGAAGCAGATCACCAGGACTTACTTCCAGGGAGACTCTGGGTGGGTTTGAACCACCAACCTTTCTGCTAGTCAATTACTTAATTATTTGTACCACCAGGGACTCCAGAAAGTTTAGGAATACTTAACTCAATGGGAGGCACTTTTAGAATATTATTATAATTGACAATAAACCTAATGTTGTTGTTGTCAAGTGCCATAGAGTCGGTTCCAACCCATAGCAACCCTGTATAGGGTTTCTGAGGAGCAACCTTGCACAAGTTCAAATGGCTCTGCAGTCTGGCGCATTAACCCACAGCACCACACCAGGACTCCAATAAACCTAATAATTGACAATAAACCTAATCAGGTTTATTATCATTTATTTGAAGAAAAACTATATGGTAGAAGGACATGGTCAGTGTAAAGGACAGGAAAATGAAGCCTTAGGAGCCAGACATTGTGAGTCAGTGGAGATATGCCCAGTGCTCTGTGGCAGGGGCAGCTCTCTTGTGCATCAACTAACTAACTCCTTGGTCTAGTTCTGTGCTCAACAAGCAACTTTTGTTCCTCTTGATTATGGTCTATTGGGAAAGAATGGCCTAGCTTTCCAATCAGCTTGATATTTCTGTTTCTCAAAGTATATTATTGTTGTATCTAAGTAACATCAGTTGGTTCCAACTCATAGGACCCTGTGTACAACAGAACAAGTTAAGTTGCTATTCTGGTTTATATGTTGAGCTCTGTGCTTAACTGTTGAGAGTCTACACTTGAGAAATGGATCCTATAAATTTGTTGCTGTAAACAAGTAATCCCCCAAAGCGTAGTGACTTTTTAAACAATAATCAATTATTATCTGTTAAGTTTTTGTGTGCTAGGAATTTGGGAGCAGCTCTGCTTGGTGGTTGTGGCCCAGGCTTTTATGAGGTTGCAGTGTGAATTATCCAGGTTTGACCACATGGCTGGCAAATTGCTCTTGGCTGTTAGCTAGGTTCCTCAATTTCTTACCACATGGATCTCTCCACAGGGTTTCTTGAGCATTCTCACCATATGGCAGCTGGCCTCCCTGAGAGCAAGCAAGCCAAGAGATCTTGGCTAAAGTCACAATACGGATTAGCCTCAAAAGTCACACACCATTAGTTCTGCTATAATTCTATTGGTCTATTGGTCTGAATCTATTGATTTAGAGTGGAAGGGGACTTCACAAATACATGAATACAAGGAGGTAAGGATGAAAGGAGCCTCTTGTAGCCTGGCTACACAGACTCCAGTAGAGTGAACTGACCAAATCAAATATGTAAGACCACCTGGCAGGCAACCCAGTGGCCATCATTGGCACTCCCGCATCACACTGCGTGGCTTTCGTTCAAAACATGTGACGTCAGTTTTTTGTTTGTTTTTTTTTAGGTCTTGGACTTTTATTTTCATTAAGTTTTTATTGTGAATTCAGTGAAAGTGTACAGAGCATATCAATTTTACATTCAACAAATCATACACTTTGCTTCATTATACAATGATTGCAATCCCTTCCAGGTATCAACAGTTTAACAGCATTTACCTCTATTCACTTTAACATTGCATTCCTTCCTGTGTTTCCTGCTACCTTCATCTTCCCTCTGCTAACTTCCCTCTTGTATACTGCCGCCCTGTCATCATGTTAACATCTGTCTACCCTCTAGTCCATGAATAATTTTTCCTCTACCCTTCCCCCGACCCTGTAACCACCATAGATTGTTTCTTCTATCAACACCTTTTTTTTTAACTTTCTACAGCATTGGTCTCTTATAATATTTGACCTATTGTGATTCACTAATTTCATTCATCTTATTGTCCTCTAGGTTCATCCATGTTGTGAAGGGTTTGCAGATTTACGTTATTCTTTATCATGTGTATGTATGTATGCTATATCGGTACCAAAGTTTGTTTAACTATTCTTCTGTTGACAGGCTTTTAGGATATCTCCATCTTTTTGTTGTGTCTCTTGATAGAAAGCATATTGAAAAATTCTGTTTTCTTATCCATTCTGGTCTGTCTCTTGACTGGTGCATTCCATCCATTTACATTCAGTGTAATTATTGATAGGCATGAATTGTTTGCTTTGTTTTTACTGTGAGTTTTTTTGTGATGCTGCTGGGTGTTTTGTTCCCATATAGTTTTCTGCACTGACTTAATTTTGTTTGTGGTAAATTCTGTTGTGTTAATGTTTACTAAATCTTTCTGATTTTCCTCTTTTTTAAAATTTTGATGTGCAGGTGTATTCATTTTCTCTGAAGTTACCCTGTAATTTATACATATTTTTCCCTATTTAAAACAGTCTGCTTTATCTTGAAATCTACTTTGGATTTGGAGAGTTTGATTATGTTACGTCTTGGTGGTTTTCTTTTGGGATCTGTGTTGTTTGGGGTTCGTTCAGTTTCTTGTATGCTTCTCTTCTTTCATGATGTCTAGGGAAGTTTTCTTCTGGAAACTCTTCAACAATTTTCTCTGTGCTTTTTATTGTCTCTTCCTGTTCTGGCATTCCGGTCACCCATAAGTTCCTCTTCATAGTGTCCCACATAACTCTTTGGCTCGCTTAGGATTTTTTCATTCTTTTTTCTGATTGTTCTTCTAGAATACTAATACTGAGAGATTTATGTTCAAGCTCCCTAATTCAGGCTTCCATTGCTTCACATATGCTGCTCTGCCCATTTCTGAGATCTTAGTGTTAATCGTCTGGATCTCTAATTGCAGGTTTTGTATTATTTCAAAATTTGCATTTATTTTGTCTGTTTGTTCTTGTACTGTTTTCCTGAATTCTTCTAAAGTTTTTACTGTGTTCTCCTTGCTTTCCTCAATTTTTCTACTGATTTTTTTGAAAGCACTGAATTGTCATTTTTTAAAAATTCTTTTTGAGTTAGTTCCATTACCTTTTCTTCCTCAGAAACATTATTTTGTCTCTGCATCTTGGTCATGTGTTTGAGCCATTCTATTTTGTTTCTTCATGTGAGCTAAAATTGTCTGTCGTTTCTGGGGCTTTGTGGAGTTGTCGTAGTTGTATTTATTTGATGATTTTATGTTGATATGTTTTCAGGCTCTCACCAACTGTCTCTGGTGGGTATAGTTAGAGAATGGAAGCATGTACACCATTCTTCTTCGCCGTTCATGCACCTCAGCTTAGGATGGGTTTGGCTGGTGTTGGCTGCTGTCTTTTGTTGATCAGGTGGTATAGGAGATGTTACTTGCTCTTGTCCAGTGGATGGAGGTGCAGAGGGTACAGTTGTGGCTGGACTGTATGGGCAAGGTTGCTGTCTCCTGTTGGATGAGAAAGAGAACCCATTCCCCCCCCACACACACACACAAGAAAACAAAAGATGACAAGGAAACAAAAGTAGAAAGATAAAATAATAAAGAGAAAAAAGACATAATAGCAGGCAGCAATCAGAAAATAAAAAAGAATATAACTATAAAGACATTAGCGAGACAGGGAAATGGAGCTATAACAGGAAAAATAAAAGGAGGAAGAAATTAAACAAAACAGAATACTTACAAATAACTTAAAAAGAGAAGCGGGACAGGAAAGTGGAGCTATAGAAGTGAAAAATAAGAGGAAATAAAAGAAAAAAAAAACACTTAGAAAAACTAGGGCGAGGGAAGATGAAAAGAGGGCATATAGTAAAGAAAGATCAAAAGGAAAAAAACAGGAGGGGAAATAAGAAACAAGAAAAAATGGATAACAGAGAGAGGATTAAATTCAAGGGTTTGGAAAGAAGAAGAGAAAGAACAAACAAAAACAATGGAACAAGAAAAGTAAAAAACCAAACCCCCGAACAGAAGTGTAACTGGTGGACCTAGAGAGAAGAAAACTCTGGAGCTCCAGAGATGGGTGTGGGGCAGATGGGGTTCCTGTCAGTCTCCTTACCTATGTTTAGGGCACTCAATCAGGAAGTCATTTGTGGAGGCCCTTGATGGAGCTGGTTTCAGCGTCCATTAGGCCCACAAGGCAGCTAAGGGCAGGGTGACAGGTTAACTGCTACTGTAGTGACTCTGCAGGTTTTGTAGATCTGGAGCCGAGCCTGCCAGGATCCAGGCACCAAAGCATTGCACCAAAACAGCACAGTTGGTCCCTCCTCACAGTGACATGGCTCCTGACCATGTGGTACCAATCTCCTGGAGATCAGGGTCTGAGCTGGGGGAGTGAACAAGGGTGGGAGGTGACCACACCTCTGGTCACCAGGTGAGCATGGGGAACAAGAAGGAATTGTACCTTTCCCATCATGCGAATCTGAAAGCTGCTCCCAATATAGTTGAGCCATATCTGCCCTGCTGTTTACAAGTCAGCCTCCCTCTGTCATTGTTCCTACTCAGCTTCTCCCAGCAAACACTCAGTCCACTTCTCTAACCTTCCCTCGGAAGTTCAGGGTTCCAGGATTTTCATCTATGCACTGCAGGGTCAGCAGTTCACATTCACCAGCTGCTCCTTAGAAACCCTAAAAAGAGTCGTTATGAGTCAGAACCGACTCGTCGGTACTTAACAACTGTTACGTTTAGTTTCTCATATCTTTGTTGTAGAGGGTCCATGTAGTACATCTGCCTAGTCCACCATCTTGCCAGAAATCATGACATCACATTTTATCATCTTCACACCACTTCAAAGAACCCATATTTATCTCAGACACAGGTTTGAGTTACACTATTCATGAGGAAAATGTCAAATTCTGTGTTGCATTTTCAAACATTTCTGCTAGAATTATGCTTTATTATACGGAAACCAAATGCTAATAAAAGACATTTCCCCCAACACTAAGAGAATATAAACAATTATTTAAACAGCCGAGCTAATTTTAACAAGGTAGAAAAGTCTCAGCAGCCTTCATGTTACATGTTGATGGGGAAATCCAGACTCTCAACTTACAATGAGAAACATAGTCTTTCTAGACAAACATGCATTGTAGTCTTATGACTAAAAGTTACATATCAATCCGCTATCATATTTAAAGTAGAATCTCATAGGAAAGCTTTGTGCAAGTCAGCCAGTCTCAATTTTATGATGATATTATATTCAGAGGTGTAAATAATAAGGTAATAAGTATAAATCAAGGTTGGCTGTTCAAACTCACCAGCTGTTCCTTAGAAACCCTATACAGGGTCACTATGAGTCGAAACCGACTCAACAGCACTTAACAACAATATGTCTGAAAGAGGAGTCCTAGTGTGGCATTGTAGAATAAGCACTGGACAGCTAACTGCAAGGTCGGCAGTTCAAACCCATTAGCTGCTCCTCGGAAACTCTATATAAGAACGCTATAAATTGGAACCAACTCAATGGCATTAACAACGACAAAGTCAGAAAGAAAAACATGTAGAAAGGTAAGAGAGGTGGCAGGATAGCTCTCCTATTCAGAATGGTCATCTACATTGGAAAGTCACATTTCAAAATTGAGAGAATGAGAGTTCAGTTGATGAGCTACCTCAGAGGGTTGTGAACAAAGACGCTGCCATTCATTTTGTGGCACTATGCTGCCCAGGCTCTGAAAAGCCAGATAACTTGTCTGAGGTACACAGCCAATCATTTATGATTGCAATCAATAACTGTCAAACTCCAGATCTTTCTACAACACTGTACTCTCTCCTGGGTCAACAGGTAAGAGAATTTCTGATTTGTACAACCTGGATTTTTACCCCAGGGTCAACCAAAACCTGGGAAAAGCATACATGCATACAGTACAGTAGCAAACAAAATTGAGACAACTTACTACCGTGTGGTGTGTGCGGTGGCTATGTAGAATAAGCACTGGACTGCAAACTACAAGGTCGGTGAATTGAGACCACCATCCACTGTGCAGGAGAAAGATGAGGCTTTCTGCTCCTGCAAACATTTACAGCTTCAGAAATCCTATACAGGGGTTCTATGAGTTGGAACAGACTCAACGGTACTTAAGAATACCTTGTACCTTATTAAAACTGGAGTTTTAACACAGCATGGGTGGTTTGGGTAACCTTGCCTTAATAGGGTCTTCTAGCCGATTCCTTCTCTGGATGAGTCTCTGAGAATATGAGGAGTGTAAGAAAGGGTCTGGAATCTTCCTCACACTGGGAAATCACAGTTTTGCTAAGAACTTGGCCCAATGCTTGGTCTTGTTAACTCCAAATACAAACTGAATACAATTGTGACTGATGGCCAGGATGTTTAGTAGGAAGCTCCTTCCTTTATGACATCACTTGACAGAGAGGTAGCTAAGGGACCAATTCGCAGCATTCTTAGAATAACAGCAGTTCTTAAAACTGAGGGTAAATATTCAGGCTTCATTAGGATCCTGGATACACGTCAGCAGTGAAGTATGGGATCTCCTCAGAGGGGCACAGTCTATCCGGTGGTCAAGACAAATAAAGTTGGGTCCAAAGTAGCAGTTTCAACACATAAGGGGGCTGAGGGTAGTAACGCAATCCCTCATCGGGGACATGCTTTTGCCTCAAGCCAGAGAGGTGCTACCATCTCCCATGGAAAGTCAGAACCTGCGCATCCCATCACTACAGAGTATCCTCGATTTTTCTCCCCACAATCAGGGCCTAACCTTTCCAGTGCACCCTCCCTTCGGGGCACCGAGGCCCGGCCGAGAACAGAAACATCCCGTCAAATCTCTCCTCACCGAAAAACACAGCAAACTCAGACGGCTGCTTCCCACAATGTCTCTATACACCGGAATGTTACCTTACCTAGGGAGGAAACAGTACGGAAAAATGCCCCTGCTGCAGTACGTGAGAGCGCCCACCACTCCTCACTAAACACAGATGCCAGAACCACTCGCCGGTTGAGTTTTCTAGACCCAAAGGATAACCTAGAAGTCTTACAGCAGGAAGAAGAACCACCCTCTAAGGTCCAGAACCCACAAGGGGTCAGAGTTCCCCGTAAGATTTCACTTCACCCAAGGGATGAAGCAGTCCAAACTGACCCCATCCGGAGGACTTTGACTGCTGCTGATACCAAATCTTCAAGGACACCCTCTAGCCCAGAACATGGCATCTGCCGATTCTATCCAGAGCCTCGGACAATGCAGAGAAGGATCCCTGGCCAAGAGTCTGAAATGGGACCTCACAGTTCAATTTATTCAGATGCAAAGCCTTTACAGAAGAATGTAAACTTGGAATCATGCCTCAAATTTTCTGTCCTTAGAGATTTGGAAGGTGGACACCGCGTTTCTCCACGTCCAGAGCTGGATTCTGCCCACAAGTATTCTGTCTATACTGAACCCAAAAGCTCCACAAAGGTCTCAATGGGAACAATGGAGTCTGGCATGAAGTCCTCAACCAGAGATGGTGAGTTCCGCAAGGTCACCATTTCCCAAGGAGGGCAGCCAACTCAACGTGCAGCTCGAGCAGTACCTGAGAGCTACAAATCTTCTGGAATCTTTGCACCTTCAGAGCCTATCTATAAGCAGCATGTCCAGAGACCCCCAGAAACTGTTCATACATCTTCAGGACCCATCCCAAAGCATGTGGAACTGGAACTGACCCCTCGACCCTTGCCCCCTCGTTCCCTACCTAGGTATGGACCTGACTCCTCATGGTGGACATTACTCAATCCTGAAGTTGAAATGCCTGAAAGCAGGCAAGCAACACCTAATTTTGAGCCTAAGTCCCCTGCTCCCCTAGATTCTTTATTGTCCTTTTTTGAAAAGGACTCAAATTCTTTCTATGAAGAGCTGACGTTACAGAGAGAGAAGGCAAGTCCACTAGCATCACCACCAGCATCGTCACCACCTCCACCAGCAGTGGCAGCAGCAGCAAAACAGTCTCCAAACCAGGCACCTTTGAGGGAAGCGCCACAGGCCCCCAAGCATACCTCCAAACAACCCATTCAAAGGTTTAGTGCTTTCTTCTTGGGTATGTGAAGAAGCAGACTGCCCAGGTGCAGCCCCAATTTATAGAGGTGGGATGTTTGGGTGGGCAGAAAAGGCCTTTTCTTCATTCTGGACCTCGGGGTTACCCTCCTGCAGTGTCAAAGCTAGTCTCATCCTTGAGCCCACTACCCACTTCCTGCCAGCTTCTCTGAGCCCCAAACTAATGACATCAATCACGATGTTTGGGCCAGTCATCAAACACTGACTCTTCCAGGCAACGCTGCTTAACTTTTCAATGGAAGGTAGTAGAGAGTGGTTTCCAGGGTCAGAAGCTGCTTCCCGAGACACGAGATGAAGAACTGAGCTGGGGTGAGGGCTGGTAAGGGCTGTTAAAGAGAATAAGGTCTTCAGGTAAGTATTCCGGCAACAGAGTGGAGAAGGTGGGCAGAGCTGAGCTGGTGGGGCGGAGATTTAGACTTCCAGGAGGGGACAGGCATTTGTTAATGTGACACAAAGAGGTGTGAGAAAAGGAGAAGCAGAGTGGGGATGTGATGTTGAATCCTAGCCTGGAATTGTTCCTTGGAAAATCAAGGTCTGCGGGCACTTTGGGGAAGAAAAACATGGAGCTAGACAGAGATAAAAGTAGTGTGGGGTGGGGGTATACATCTCAGGGAGGGGAAAAAACAACCTCTCTTTACTTTCAGATGTCTCTGAGGAAATGTACAATCGTGTCATCTGGTGGCTAAAAGGTCTGTGCTTTTCTCTTTCTAGGGACCTATTGTGGGTGGTTGGGGTGGCGGAGGATGGGCCGGCTGGTGGGTGGCTGTGTAGCTACAGATCTCCATCTGAGAGGAGGGTACCAGCTGGGGTTTTGATGTGACGGAGCAGAAGAACTTCTCATCTTACTAAAATTCCATCATGTGAGTCATTCCTTTGGGACTTGGAACTTTTTTCATTTTTAAGAATCTTCTTTCAATGGGAAGCCACTTCTAGAATGGAGAACAACTTAAACTGATGACCTTTCAGTTTAGCTGATCATAACTGTCAAGTGATGAAGAGACACCAAGGCAAACTACCTGTATCACAGCCTTGCTCAGGGCTGACCTCACACTAAGCCACATTGGGGGTCTCTTCTCATATGTTTCTCTGGTGACTTAGAATCCTACTCAAGCCCCCACCCCCAGAAGAAACACTGGCTGCTGCTCGGGCAGGATCTTCAGTGATATCTAGGCTTTCCACTTGAGGTCATCAGTGGGTCCTGCAGCCAGCTCTAGAATCCTTAGAGAGGTATCTCCAGGGCCTAAATGTTTTGTGAATTTTGGTAGCAGGGAGTTCATGCTGTGATATTTGTGGCTGAAACTATGCTTCAGCCCTAATGAGCAGGAGGGAGACCAGGGCTGTGGATGAGAAAGTTCCTGGGGAAAAAAGTCTTGGGAATGCAATTCAAACCCAACCAGCATGAGCCCTCAGACTGCTGTAACAGCAGAGTGGAGAAGGGCAACCCTGCTCTTGAGGGAACAAAGCTCTGTAAAGTATGGACCCTGCTGTTTTATTACTGTTACTGTTTAAGCCCTGAGCCTACGATTTCCTAACTGTGAGGCCTTAGATAAGCTAGTTTACTGATCTAAGACTCAGTTTCCCCATTTATTAATGAGGATAATGACCTCATCTAAGGGTTATTGTGTGGACTAATCAAGCTATTATATGTAAAGCATTTAGTGTGGTTCCTGGCAATAGTGACCATTCAGTAAATGCCAGTTGTTTTTATTGGGGCATGTGCATTAGGAAGGGATTTGGGTCAGGTTATGTCTAAGTCCATGGGCATCTTTAGTAAAATTCCTTTTCCTCTCCTGTTGGCACTCTCTGAATTTCATTTGCTGTCCCCTGGGAATGCCCGGCTTCTACTTCTCCGTTATGACAGATGAGGAGGTAAGAACGCCCCTGGGAGGTCACTTCCAGCCTTCTGTGTCCTCGGTTAACCAAATTGCTCTCCTGTCCTCCAATGGAAGTGGGTGTGGAGGGAGACAGACAGAGCTGGTTGGTACCTGTGGCTGGGCAGGTTGATCACTGCACGAGGACACCTGGCAGAGGGAGCAGGTGGGAGCTGAAATTTTGCCCACATGTGCACCTGTGGGGCTGCATCTCCTCAGGGGCAAGCTTTGCACAGAGGTTTGCAATATGAGCCAGTTGCAGCCCTGGAAAGAAAGAGAAGAGATAAAGACTCCTGCCAAGTGTTCTACAGGGAGGTGATCTGGGCAACCACTGGTTCATCGGTCCCCACGTGGCTCCCCCTTCTTTAGCCCAGGGCATTCCAGAAAGGGCCTGTTTTTCTGGGTTACACATGATCTGGTTCCTCAACTTAAAAAGGCACATGGTGGACTCTGCTTCTGGCAGCCGTGTCCTGAGTGTAGCAGACTGTCCTGGTTTCACAGTGCATTGTTCCCTTAAGTACACTGATTCTTCTTGGTCCATGTTTGATACAATAGTCAGATCTCTTCCTGCTTCCATTCTTTCCCTTGCCTTGTCCAAAGTCTTGAAATGGCCTTCATTGGGTTCCATCCATGGGCTGGCCCAGGATACACAATCGACTACAAATGGAAAACAAATCGGGTGTTGGCAGCCTGAGCTCAGATAGCAGAACAGCTGAAAGGGAGGTGTCCAGAAATATCACTACCACCCTCTCTGCCTTGGCTCCTTCCCCAGCCCTGCACCCTGAACTCAGCTGTGGGTGGGAACAGCTACTTTTAGAGATGATCTCCATGCAAGACAGTAAATCCCTCCCTTGCTCACTCCCTTTTTTCCTTCCTTCCTCCCTCCTCTCCCTTCCTTCCTTCAATAAGCAATTTTTGTTCCAATGCTAGCACTCTGCTAGGCACTATGGGGGACACACATTCTTTGGCTTTGAGAAACTTCCCATCTGGTTGGGGGAGATAAGACACCGACAGGAAGCATTTCAACAACAGTATGAAACAGTTTGGGCACAAATGTCAAAATAAATGGGACAGAGTAAGTGCTATTGGAGGTCTTAGGAGAGAGGGCTGCCACAGGGCATCAGGTTACACTCTCCTGTCCAAAGCCAGGGCCATCTTGTCTTTTGATACAAATTTATACCTTTGGGATGGATGAAAGAAAGGGTTAATGTTTCCCCTTTGTTCAGGATGTGATGTTTTTGATTGAACAGACTCCTCATTCTTCCTCACCCTCATCCTTTTTCTGTGCATCTTGTTTTAGTTTAGGAAGTCAAAAGCCTTGGCAGTGGATGGTTCCTTCCCAAAATAGCTCTTATCCTGTCTAGATAATTACAGCTCTCCAGCCCTGTTCAGTAACAGTGCTGTTCCCCAGAAATCAGAAAGAGAATGCTCCCAGTGAACTGGGCTAGCTGGCCTTCTCTGGTTCTCTAGAAGTGGGGTGGCATCGAGGTGGACCAGGTACTGTCTTTGTAAAGCATGAGAACTGGACCTTCCCAGACTGCCACGTGGCCCATGGGCAGCTCTATGTGCTGACATCTAAGGCTTCTGGCTCCTCTGGTCTGGGAATGGTTGACCATAGAGCCTGTCCCAGATTCCATTCCCGTCAGGAATTCTCTGGTGGTCCAACCACGGGCGCCTGGCTCCTGGAAGCCAGCATGTTTGTTGTTGAGCTTCACAAGCCCCTCTGGATCCCCAGCTGGGGGCAGTGCCTGATTCAGCCTCTCTCTGTCTCCTGCCAAGTGGCCCCTCAAGGCCCTTTTGTCTAAGGAGTGGCATGGACAGATGTTTTGCGCCCTTAGATTGGGACATTAGGTGCTAGCGTCTCCCCAGAGGAGGTTGTGTTGGACTGAGGGCAGCATTGTAGATGATGTTTTTTTAGTGTCAGAACTAGTAGAAGCTCAGTAGGAAGGTCCCCAGGGTACCCTATTGGGTCAGCAGGGGCTGCCTTCTCACACAGCCTTGGGGAATCCCTGGGAATAAAGCAACTCTTCATGGCAGGGACTGCAGTGCCTCGGATGATAGGGGTGCCCTGGACTCAGAACCCTGTGTCCTCAAGGAGCCTGACCTACTTGCCCTTGGATGTGACTTCCAGGCTGTCAGGGGACAATGTAGTTTACTCCTGGAGATATCTATCAATTATGCAAGAAACCAACTCTGGAAAGCAGGACAGCAACCAGAGGAGGCTGTCTCACTGATCGCTAAGTCAGACATCAGTGTCTTTAGAATATCATGTCCTCTGGCCCCTGGGAGAGGAGGTCCTTCTATTGAATCCTGAGCTAAAGGGAAGTTTTGCACAGGTGCACTTCCTTTAACAAGGAAAATCCAAGTCTTAAAAGGAACCTGGGGTGACTCCCATTCATGAGGATATTAACAGAATCCTGGAACATGGGCTGTCTGAAAAGAATCCTAAAAACCATCTTTCCCACTGCCCTACTTTCTCTTGCTTTGGATGGAGGCTTGCAGTTGAGAGGAATTGTTGGAAGAATGGAGTTGAGTTGCAGAAAATGGGTCAGGTCTCCTGAGGAGGCTTTTCATGGCAAGTTGACCTTCACCAGACAGCTTTTAGGAAGCAGGTCTCTTCCCTGTCAGATGGTACCTTGTTCATTTCCAGCTGCCATGGGAAGGTAAGTCCAGTGCAGGATGGGAATAGAAGATCCCCTGACCGAGACTTGCTAGTTTGGGACAGACTTCAATGACCAGCTCATCTAGGTTTGCCTGGAACGTTTTCCAGTTTTAGCACTGAAAGTCCTGCATCCCAGGAGCCTCCTGGGCCAAGTGGAGCAGTTGGTCACCTTAGGGTAGCCTGTGGTGTTGATAAGGTTTGTCTTACTTAGCAAATAGCTTCTGAAAATATGTGCTGGTTTCCCTGTGAAACCAAGGTGGGTTGGTCCCCTCTGTCTATAAAATGGGAGCTGAAAAACACTACACCTTCTTCATGGGCTTTATGTCAGACTGGAGGTCAGACTTACATGGTGTTTTGTTCTGCCTAGAATGAGCCTATGTGGGGAAGAACATGCTACATCCATTTTGGACTTTCTGATGTATTTTCAGAAGCTATGTGGTCCTCTGCTTGGAACCTATTCATCTCCAATAGCGTATCTTTCTATGCGAGTGCTTCAGGAGTGTTTGAAACGGTGACTTTTTCTGGGTAGATTAGGGAGGTAGGCTTCAGAGGACAGGGTACACAGTTGGGTGAAGAAGCAAATCTGTCACCCAGGAGCCACATTAACAGCTGCTCAGCCAGAGAGAGGCCACCTTGAGTTGCAGAAATGGCCATGTTCCCTCACACTCCTCAGCTCAGCTGCTTTTGCCCCAGCTGTTACGAGGGGAGCAGCAAGAGACAGCTGCACCCGGGGGACTGAAAGAAGGCTTGGAAGAGGGGGACAGAATGTGAGACAGTTCCTAAGAGAAACTCAGGCTCGGATGTTGTGGGTGGGAAGACTGGGCCAAAGTCCCATCCTTGGCACACCCACCAGAGGCATAGTCATCTAGCTCCAGGGGTCTACGCAGTTATGTTTTTGGGAGTTGGGGGTCAGTAGATCTGGAGCTAAGACCAACTTTCTAGAGATCGAGTGGTATCTAGCTGGAGAAGCTGACTCCACAGTTGGTGGCAGCATAGTCATTCCAATGTCACTTTTGTCCAAAGCATTAGTCTGGAATTCTCCCTCCTCCCATTCCTCTGTGCCCATCACACACACACACTCGTAATCCTTTGGAGGGAAGGCATTTGAAATAGTCACAGTTGATGCTTGCTAGTTTGGTGTTGATAATATTCCCATTAGCTACCATTTATTTGAGTAATTATACCATGCCAAGAAGGAGCTCTGGTAGCGTAGTGGTTACAAGTCGGACTGTGAACTGCAAGGTCAGCAGTTCGAAACTACCAGCTGTTCCATGGAAGATGAGGTTTTCTGCTCCCGTAAAGATCTACAGCCTTGGAAACCCTGTACAGGGTCGCTATGAGTCAGAACCGACTCCATGGCACATAACAACAACCATGCTAAGCGTTCCACCTTAATGAATCTTCATAGCAACCCTATGAGATGGAATTTTTCTCCCTACTTCACAGATGAAGAAATTGAGTTTCAGAGCTTGCTCTACAAAGCTGGGAGCACTTTAGGGAGTATCTTGCCACAGGGTTGCAACTATATCTTCTGTAGCGACATCAACTTAGAAAATAACTTTATCTTTAGAGATAAAGGCTTGTGAAGGGAAAAACTTCTCTGTGAACTCTGAGGGTGGGCATTGATAAG